TTGTGGACTCTCTAGAAGTCACAATTTTCATCCAATTTTAAAAACCATTTAAATATATCACCTTTACACCTTAATATATCACCGTTACAAATATATCACTGTTACACCTTGAGTTTGAATTTCGTTAAAATCTGACCAAAACTGCCCAACAAAATGGTCGGTTCTTGTACCCCCAAATAGTGTAAAAGTATGTAATACCATGGTCGTGGACCCTCTAGGAGTCATAATTTTTATCCAATTTTAATGAAACTTGAAATGTATAACCCAAAGCTTTCGATGTTCAGGTATATTTAATCATATCTTCCTGGGCCCTGAGTGATTGTACAAAAAATCTGTCCATCTCATGCAAAATGTGGGCGTATCTTGCATGGCAACCACTTGTTGCCCCCTGCCGTTCGAAGAAAGCAGGAGACTATTAAAATGGGTTTGTTCGTTCGTCCGTCCGTCCGTCTGTCTGTTCAAACTTGGTGTAGGTGTTAATTAGGTCAATGCCTTAATGTAGTTTGAAGATAAGCATTTTCTGCTCAGGGTAAGCAGAGATAAGCAATTTGATTGGTTGATGCTTTGGGGCATGATAAATTTAGTTCTAATTAAGTGAGAGTGATGAAATTTGGTTTATAGTTTTATTACATCAATACCTTGAGTTAGTTCGATAATGAGCATTTTCTGCTCAGGGTAAGCAGAGCGATAAGCAATTTGATTGGTCGAGACTTTGGAACACAATAACTCTCATTCTAATTGAGCTAGAATGTTCACACTTGGCGTAGGTGTTTATTAGGTCAATGCCTTGATTGAGTTCAAAGATGAGCATTTTCTGCTTGGGGTAAGCAGATAAATGCAATTTGATTAGTTGATGCATTGGGACACAATAACTTTAGTTCTAATTAAGTGAGAGTGAGGACACATGGTGTTTAGTTTTATCACATCAATACCTTGACCAAGTTCATTAATGAGCATTTTCTGCTCAGCGTAAGCAGAGCGATAAGCAATTTTATTGTTCAAGACTTTGGAACACAATAACTCTCCTAATTGATGCAGAATGTTCAAACTTGATGTAGGCGTTCATTAGTTGAATGCCTTGATGGAGTTCGATGATAAACATTGTCTGCTTACGGTAAGCAGGGGATGAGCAATCTGATTGGTTTGGTTTTACTTAAGTGAGAGTGATGGAACTCTGAGTATAGTTTCATTACATCAGTACCTTGACTAAGTCGATGATGAGAATTTTCTGCTTATATTAAGGAGCGATAAGCAATTTGATTGGTCAAGATTTTGGAACTTAACATCTCTGCTTTTAATTGAGGTAGACTTGATGTAGATGTACATTAGGTAAATGTCTTGACTGAGTTCAATGATTAACATTTCGAGCTAAAGCTAAGCAATTTCATTGGTCGATGCTTTGGGACAAGATAACTTTGATTCTATCTGATAGAGAGTGATGAAACTTAGTGTATAGTTGATAATCAGTTTGATTGCTTGATACTTATGAAAAAAATAAATGAGCGATTAATTAATATGTATCATCTGTTTATTTTGGGATTTTGCACACGAAATTTAAAAGCGAATTTTATCAAAACTGTGGGGTATTTCTCTAAGAACTTTGATTTTTTGAATGAGAATGCTATAGTTAACACATTCTTTCACTAAAATGTTAAATGGCTTTTTGATGGAGCAAAGATGGCAAGATATTCGATGTCAGCTACTGGGCTATTACAAACAATGGTGGATTATTTTACTGCGGAAGCCTACTCTTTAAACCGTATTTGGACATAATTTAAACCATAATTAGCCAATCGTTGACAAACGATAACACATGGTTTATTATTTACTACATATGCAGACACTTTTTATATGCCCACATTGAAATGTGGTCATATATTGTTGTTTCCCCCCCCTTTGTCCAGCCGACGTCCACAGAGTTAAAGTTAATATCTGATCGACTTTAAATTGATACACAGTGTTTAAGGTTATGAGACGAAGAAGCCTATTGATTTTCAACGATTTCCAATAATTACTGCCAGAGTTGTGGCCCTTGATCACTTTGAAAAAACTTGTGGACGCTATAGAGGCTAAAGTCAATATCTGATTGACTTTAAATTTATGCACAGTGTTTAAGGTCATGAGACAAAAAATCCTATTGATTTTCAACAATATCCGATAATTACTGACAGAGTTATGGTCCTTGATCAGTTTGAAATATGTTGTAGATGCTCTAGATGCTAAAGTTAACATCGGATTACAGACTTACCGTGGAGAGACACCTCTGAGAAAATTTGGAAAATTTGACGGCCAAAAACGTGTTTTCCTTATATTCCAGTAAAAAAATACAGCAACTTCAAAGTGGTCTAATATTTGCCTAATTTAGGTAGATGACTTGAATTCCAATCAACTAAACAATTGTTTACAGTCCACGCAGACGGGACCATGGGGAGAAAATTTTGAAAATTTAACTGCTATTCCAGCCTGTGACTACAGCAACTCCAATGTGGTCCAATATAGCCTACCTTAGGTGGCTGACCTGAATCCCAAACAACCAATCAATCGACGTGGGGCATGGGGGCCTTGACTCTCAGAGAAAATTTTTAAAATTTAACCCCTGCATATGTGTTTTTCTGCTATTATAGCCTGTGAGTAAAGCAACTTCAAAGTTGTCCAATTGTTTTTTTAACCAAAATCCCACTCTGTGCCGATCTGAATTCCAACCATTCAAACAGGCTGTTGCAGCTGCATTCACAAATAATAATCGATGCCCGAAAAATGTCGCACTAAGTAGAGTAGATCCAGACAAAATGTTTTAATCCATATTCAATTCAGTACAAATTTGTGGTATTTAATTAAAATAAAGTAAAATTAGTGTTTTATTAGATTTCGGGCACTTTATTTTGCCAACTAGATGAATAATAATTTTTGTTCTCACTTTATCCATCTGCCCAAAATGTCAGATTGCCCGAAAACTGCGGCGATATGGAGCACGAAATTTAAAAGCAAATTTTATCAAAACTGCGGGGTATTTCTCTAAGAACCATTCAAACAGGCTGTTGCAGCTGCATTCACAAATAATAATCGATGCCCGAAAAATGTCGCACTAAGTAGAGTAGCTCCAGACAAAATGTTTTAATCCATATTCAATTCAGTACAAATTTGTGGTATTTAATTAAAAAAAAGTAAAATTAGTGTTTTATTAGATTTCGGGCACTTTATTTTGCCAACTAGATAAAATAATAATTTTTGTTATACGCCCACATTGAAATATGGATGTATATTGCCGTCGCCCCCGTCCATCCGTCGGTCCATCGTCCACAATTTCTTGTGAATGCTCTAACGGCAAAAGTTATCATCCAATTTTTTCAAAATTGATATATGTTGTTTACATTAGTGAGATGAAGAAGCCTATTTAATTTCAATAATTTCTGTTATTACGTCTAGAGTTATGGCCCTTGTTTCACTTTGTTGAGCCTTGTGAACGCACTAATGCCAAAAGTTAACATCCGATCTTTGTGAAATTTATATGCAATATTTAAATTAGTGAAACGAAGAAGCCTATGGAATTTCAGCGATTTCCGTTTATTACGTCTAGAGTTATGGCCCTTGTTTCACTTTATTGAACCTTGTGAATGCTCTAACGCAAAAAGTTATCACCCAATCTTTGTGCAATTTGTATGCATGATTTAAATTAGTGAAACGAAGAAGCCTATTGAATTTCAGCAATTTCCGTTTATTACATCTAGAGTTATGGCCCTTGTTTCACATTATTGAATCTTGTGAATGCTCTAACGCCAAAAGTTATCACCCGATCTTTGTGAAATTTATATGTATGATTTAAATTAGTGAAACGAAGAAGTCTATTGAATTTCAGCAATTTCCGTCAATTACTTCTAGAGTTATGGCCCTTGTTTCACTTTGTTGCAACATGGGAACGCTCTAACGCTCTGCCGATTTATATGAAATTTAAATGTGTCATTTAAATTAGTCAAGAGAAGAATCCTATTGAATTTTAGCAATTTCCGATTATTACTTCTAGAGTTATGGCCCTTATTTCACTTTGTTGCACTTTGTGAACGCTCTAACTTCTAAAGTTAACTGCCGATCTGTATGAAATTTATATGTGCCATTTAAATTAGTCAAGAGAAGAATCCTATTGAATTTCAGCAATTTCCGTTTACTACTTCTAGAGTTATCATCCGATATGTATGAAATTTATATGCATCATTTAAATTTGTGAAACTAGAGGTTTATTGAATTTCAGCAATCCAGTCAATAATTTCTAGAGTTATGACGATTGTGAACCTTGTGAACGTTTGAATGACAAAATGGATCATGTGATCTGTATGAAATTTATATGCATTATTAGTAAATTAGTAAAACAAAAAAGCCTGTCAAATTTCAACAATTTCTGTAGATTACTTTCAGAGTTGAGACCCTTGTTTCAGTTTGTAGAACCTTGTAAACCCTCAAACGACAAAATTTATAATCTGATCTTTATGGAACTGTCTTGTAAAGGCCCCCAATTACCTACAAAGGAATAAATATGCAACAACCCTTGTCAACCGCTCGGACGATTTAGCTGCTGTGGGCGTATGTTTCGTTGCCTGGCAACCTATCTTTCTCACTTTATCCGTCTGCCAAAAAGTCAGATTGCCCGAAAGCTGCAGAGATATGGAGCATGAAATTTAAAAGTGAATTTTATCAAAACTGCGGGGTATTTCTCTAAGAACTTTGATTTTTTTGAATGAGAATGCTATAATTAACACATTCTTTCACTAAAATGTTAAATTGCTTTTTGATGGAGCAAAGATGGCAAGATATTCGATGTCAGCTACTGGCCTATTACAAACAATGCCCTATCCAGCCAGTCATTCCCTCTGTTGTATATTATTATTGCAAAGTTACCTTGCCTAACACACTATGTCTATTCATATTGACAGGATTGATCCATTGCCCTATTATTGGAATGTTATGTTTTGTACATCTTTTTATGTCCTACAATTGAATTGTTTTAGGGTATGGTAATACTTCTTGATTTTAATCCATTTGGTCACGTGACTGATTCTCAACTGTATAAATGGAAAGAATTAACAGCTGAGACTATACCTGATAGTTCAGATGGACCAACTGAACCTGATGTAAGTTTAATATCATTTGTGGTGGACCTAGATTCTTTCATATCTTTAGTACTCAGTAGCAGGGATGGGGAAATGGTATTGGAATGCAATCATTACATTTTTTAAGTAATGGCCAGTAATGGAAGATTTCAAAAGTAATGAGTAATGGAAATGTAATTCCAACCAGCGGCTGCCAGGCAGGATACGCCCACATTTTCGAGAGATGGATAGAGAACAAGCTAACAAGAAAGTGATTTTTCCTACAATCAAGGGCCATAATTCAATAAATTACAATTCGATATGCGAGAATATCGAAAGGAACTGAGATTTTTGTGTTATAAACTTACATTTCAAGTTTCAACACAATCGGATAAAAATTGTGACCTCTATAGGGTCCACAACCTTGATATACCATATTTTTACGCTATTTGAGAACGAACGGCAGCCATTTTGTCTGTCAATTTTGGGCCGATTTTCACGAAATTCGAACTCAGTCGTCCTTAGGGTGTAACGGTGATATAATAAAACGTTTTTTTAAATCGGATAAAAATTATGACCTCTGTAGGGTCCACAAGCTAAAAACGCGATTTTTCGTACAATCAGGGGCCATAATTCAGGAAGTTACTGTCCGATATGCACGAATATCGAAAGGAACCGAGGTCTTTGGGTTATAAACTTACATTTCAAGTTTCAACAAAATCAGATAAAAATTGTGACCTCTATAGGGTCCACAACCTTGATATACCATATTTTTACGCTATTTGAGAACGAACGGCGGCCATTTGTCTGTCAATTTTGGGCCGATTTTCATGAAATTCGAACTCATTCGTCCTTAGGGTGTAACGGTGATATAATAATACGTTTTTTTAAATCGGATAAAAATTATGACCTCTATAGGGTCCATAAGCTAAAAACGCGATTTTTCGTACAATCAGGGGCCATAATTCAGGAAGTTATGGTCCGATATGCGCGAATATCGAAAGGAACCGAGATCTTTGGGTTATAAACTTATGTTTCAAGTTTCAACAAAATCAGATAAAAATTGTGACCTCTATAGGGTCCACAACCTTGATATACCATATTTTTACGCTATTTGAGAACAAACGGCGGCCATTTTGTCTGTCAATTTTGGGCCGATTTTCACGAAATTCGAACTCAGCCGTCCTTAGGGTGTAACGGTGATATAATAATACGTTTTTTTAAATCGGATAAAAATTATTACCTCTGTAGGGTCCACAAGCTAAAAACGCGATTTTTCGTACAATCAGGGGCCATAATTCAGGAAGTAACAGTCCAATATGTGCGAATATCAAAAGGAACCGAGATCTTTGGGTTATAAACTTACATTTCAAGTTTCAACAAAATCGGATAAAAATTGTGACCTCTATAGGGTCCACAACCTTGATATACCATATTTTTACGCTATTTGAGAACGAACGGCGGCCATTTTGTCTGTCAATTTTGAGTTCAACTTTCGTGAAGATCGGCCCAAAACTGACAGACATAATGGACGCCCCTCATTCTCAAATAGCATAAAAATATGGTATATAAAGGTTGTGGACCCTCTAGAGGTCACAATTTTCTTCTGATTTTGATCAAACTTGAAATGTAAGTTTTAAACCCAAAGATCTCGGTTCCTTTCAATATTCGCGCATATCGGACCTTAACTTCCTGAATTATGGCCCCAGATAGTACGCAAAATCGTGTTTTTAGTTTGTGCACCCTTTAGAGGTCATAATTTTTATCCGATTAAAAATTTTTATTTAGTATATCACCGTTGCACCCTAAGGATGGTTGAGTTTGAATTTCGTGAAAATCTGCCCAAAATTGACAGACAAAATGGCCAGCCCACCCTCTCAAATAGCGTAAAAATATGGTATATAAAGGTTGTGGACCTTATGATTTTAATGAAACTTGAAATGTAAGTTTATAACCCAAAGATCTTGGTTCCTTTCGATATTCGCGCATAACGGACCATAACTTCCTGAATTATGGCCCCTGATTGTACGGAAAATCGCGTTTTTAGGTTGTGGACCCTATAGCGGTCATAATTTTTATCCAATTTAAAAAAGGTTGTGGACCTTATGATTTTAATGAAACTTGAAATGTAAGTTTATAACCCAAAGATCTTGGTTCCTTTCGATATTCGCGCATAACGGACCATAACTTCCTGAATTATGGCCCCTGATTGTACGGAAAATCGCGTTTTTAGGTTGTGGACCCTATAGCGGTCATAATTTTTATCCAATTTAAAAAACTGTTTGAATATATCACTGTTACACCCTAAGGATGGTTGAGTTCGAATTTCGTAAAAATCGGACCAAAACTAATAGACAAAATGGCTGCTCCTCGTGCTCAAATAGCGTAAAATATGGTATATAAATGTTGTGGACCCTCTAGAGGTCACAAAATGGCCGCCGATCGTACGCAAATAGTGTATAGCATGTGGTATATCAAGCTTGTGGACCCTCTAGAGGTCACAATTTTGATCCGAATTTGATGAGAGTTGAAATACATGTTTATAACCCAAAGTTCTTGGTTCCTTTCGATATTCGCGCATATCGGATCGTAAATTCCTGAATTATGGACCTTGAATGTACAAAAAATCACGTTTTTAGCTTGCCGTCCATGTAGAGGTCACAATTTTTATCCGATTTAAAAAAAACCATGTGAATATATCACCATTACACACTAAGATCTTGGTTCCTTTTGATAATCGCGTATATCCGAACATAACTTCCTGGATTATGGCTCCTGATTGTTCGAAAAATCTCATTTTTAGCTTGCGGATTCTCTAGGGGTCACAATTTTTTTTTTCCGATTTTAAAAACTGTTTAAATATTTTACCATTCTACCATAATGAAGGTTGAATTCAAATTTCGGGAAAATCGAAATGAAACTGCCCGACAAAATGGCCGCTCTTTGTACGCAAATTGTGTAAAAGTATGCAATATGAAGGTTGTGGACCCTCTAGAGGTCACAATTTATATCCGATTCGGATGAAACTTAAAACATATCTTTATATCCCAAAGATCTCAGTCCCTTTTGATATTTAAAATTGCGCATTTCAGACCATAACTTTCTGGATTATTGTCCATGATTGTACAAAAATCATGTTTGTTTTTAGCTTGTTCTCTTATCCATCTCTTGCAAAATGTGGGCGTATCCTGCCTGGCAGCCGCTGGTTTGGACATGTAAGCAAAAAAGTCACGAATTGTTCTCACGAATAATTTACTGAAAGTAAGAGGCTAATTTGGTGTGATGAAATTATTTTTTAGATGTTTTGTCTGTGTACTTCTGAAGAATTGATTGGTAGAAATAAATTATTTTATGTTCATTGATTGTGTGTGACAGAACATGTAATATTATATCATTACAGCAACCATCATTTCGTTATGTTCAAACTAAAGATTGCATACAACCAAGTTCCTATGCTGGTTTTGGCATACCAATAGATTTTATGGACCTAGCTACTGGTCAGGATCCGTCTAAACTCATGGATTTTCTTTCTCTGGTAAGATACATGTAGATCAATTTATTGTAGATTGGAGCTACCACATGAAACCTAATTAGAATGAAGAATACATGTACATTCTGAATGTTATAGAGGCTACAGTTTTTAATGGATTTATTTTCAATTTGGTGTGAAGCATGACTTGAAATTCATAAGCAGTGTTTAAATTATAAGTTCACGAAACCAAGGATTATATTGAATTTCAACATTTCCTATTATTGCGTATGGAGTTCTGTCCCTTGTTTAATTTGAAAAATCTTGTGGATGCTTGAGAGGCTCAAGTTATTATCTGAATTGACTATAAATTCATAAAGAGTAAAAATTGATACACAGAGTTAATAAGTAGATGAGACAAAGAAGCTTCTTGATTTTCTATAATTACTGAGTTAACACCCATGATCAATTTAAAAAATCCTATGGATGCTATAAGAAGCCTATTGATATTTAACAATTCCCAATAACTCAATCATCTGATTATTGGTAGCCTACATTTTTTGTATAATAATAAATGTAACTAGAACTGCGAAGCAGTAATGACGGGTTTCACCGGTGCCACGTTACCCTTGAACTTATGTCACTTCCGGTACCAATGAAACCGTTAAACAGGTTTCCACATAAGCATTGCACACATGAAATAAAATGGACGCAGAAACAACCAAATCCAGCAATCAATTCATTTGCTACATGTCAGTGATCCTGTCAAAATTAGATTACTTCCGGTGATAATGAAAATGTTAAATTGGTTTATGAAATCAGAAATAGCATCATCACATGGTGAAAATTTTATGTAAATCCTATAATAATTGCCACCTTTATAGACCAAAAACCTTGAAAAATGACTTGTAGAAAATCGCCTATTTCTCTGCAACCGTACAAGTTAGAAACCATTTTGAGGTATCTGTATGATCGAATGAGTTCATTCTATTTGTTGATTGGAATCAAATATCATTACAAATCTGATTCATTTGAATAAAATATCTGTTTTGAAGGCTAAAAATACAGTTTTTGCCAAAATGACGTTACTTCCGGTGATAATGAAAATCTTAAATTACTTGTATGAAATCGTAAATGGCATTATGTATCACACAGTGAAAATTTCATGAAAATCGAATAATAATTGACACTTTTATTGACAAAAAACCTTAAAAAGTGACCTGTTGAAAATTGCCTATTTCTCCGCAACTGAACAAGTTAGAAACCATTTTGTGATATCTATATAATCGTAAGGGTTCATTGTATTAGTTGATTTGAATCAAATATCAAAATTTTAAACAAATAACAAATATGACTCATTTGAATAAATTACTGGTTTCGAAGGCTATAAATACAATTTTTGCCCAAATTACGTCATTTCCGGTGATATTGAAAATGTTAAATTGGTTTGACCTAGTTAAAATTGACATTACACATCAAATGGTGTAACTTTTATGAAAATCGAATAATAATTGACTCTTTTACAGGCAAACTAGCGTAAAAAGTGACTCATGCATAATTGCCCATTTCCCGGCAACTGCGCATATTACAAATTAATTTTCACATACATTCTCTCCGTATAGATTATTGCTACGAGTTTATGAAAGTTACGAAGTGATATTTTAAAATATGAAAACGCTGGATGGGTTGTAAATAGCTTAATTTTACACCTTTTTTCACCTTTCAATCGAAATAGCCCGAAAACGGAATCGAAATTTAAAAAACTGGTCCCAACATTTTGTGCGCCTTCAAAGGGCGCACAATTTCAGTTATACCAGATTTGAAAAAAATATTATTTGCTTTCGAAAAATGGTACCTAACTGTCAAAATTGTAGTTTTTTGTCAATTTACGCCACTTCCGGTGCCGACAGATAACACTATTGGTAACAAAAAAAATGACAATTGAGACAACGGAGCATATGAACTTTGTTTTATACAAATCGAACAATCAATAATAAATCTAGGACTGAAAAACTGAATTAGCCAATGGGGGCCAAGGAAAATTACCGAGACAAAAAATTTTCACATTTTTGCCCAAGTCACAGGACTCGTTATATTTGTGTAAAACACGACTAAAAAATATTCATAAATAAAAAAGTTTTTTGTAAAAATTTAAATTTTCTAAATTTAGCGCCTAATATCTGCGAAGATTTGCCGAAAATCAAAAATCAAAAGTAGCGTAGCTATGTGCCCCGTCTCCGGCTATGCCAAAATGCATCGAAAGTTAAAATCCAATGATTATTGTTAAAATTACTGCAATATTTCTAAAAACGATAGCTTCGGTGATTTCGGACATTTCGCATTGTCGCAGAACGTTCAAAATAGCTTTATCCTCTAAGTCACACCCACTTTTCCGATAAAATCGAAGAAATCGTAACGATCCGACAATCAGTTGCTGAGATCTACTCAAAACAAAAGAAGAATAATAATAATAAGAATAATAATTTTAACAAAAACAATAGTGTTTCACACAAGCTACGCAGTGTGAAACCCTAATAAATATTAGCACTAGAAAGAACTAGAAGTCTGTCAAATTCCTGGTAATTACTTCATGGGTTATTATTCTGGATCAGTGTTTAATGCCTTTTAAATCCTGCCATTACCTTCAAAAGAAGAATAAATTTGACAACCTTTTTGGATTGCTATGTTTCATTGCTTGGCAACTTATCTTTTGTCTTACACACATGTTTAAAGGAGCTAAATCGCTAATATTTGAGACCTAGAACTTGACACAAATGGGTCACAACGTATGTAATATGAATGTATATAAACTGATTTACATTCAATCTTGTTAGTTTTTACTGTAATATTCGGCGAAATATGCCAGAAGCCTCAATCGAATGGCAGTATCTAGCGTCTGGGTATTCCAGTCTACACTGATAGTATTTATTGTGCATGCTCTCAAGCTAAGACTGTGGCGTCACCATTTGACATGACTTGTAGAATACGTCTAGCCTCGTTCTTCGGGTCCCTTGTTACAAATGGTGCTGACTATGATGTCACTATCTGACATGACTTGTAGAATATGTCTAGCCTCGTTCTTCTTTTCCCTTCTTACAAATGGTGCTGAAACGCATTATGGTACACGATTCGTTTACCAAGGTAAATTGTTTATTTTGTGTTAAATATTGAATATCAGAAGCCCATCTTTTCCTGGTAAGATCACAACATCAATGTTGATTTAAATTGACAAATAATTTTTGTTTTCGATGTTGAAGACTTTGCATGATACTTAGTTACTTTAAGTGAACAAAGCTGTATCTCAGTTCTCTGTGGTAATTACACCAAACAGCCTAAACCCGCCCTTCTCAGATTTCGATCCAACTAGGCCTATTACTGAATTAAAAAGTTTCAACTCAATTGTGCTTGTGGACGCTCTAGAGGCGAAAGTTAATATCCGATTGACTTTAAATTTATACACAGTGTTTAAGGTCAAGAGATGAAGAAGCCTATTGATTTTCAGCGATTTCCGATAATTACTGCCAGAGTTATGGCCCTTGATCACTTCAAAAAATCTTGTGGACGCTCTAGAGGCGAAAGTTGATATCCGATTGACTTTAAATTTATACACAGTGTTTAAGGTCAAGAGATGAAGAAGCCTATTGATTTTCAGCGATTTCCGATAATTACTGCCAGAGTTATGGCCCTTGATCACTTCAAAGAATCTTGTGGACGCTCTAGAGGCCAAAGTTAATATCTGATTGACTTTAAATTTATACACAGTGTTTAAGGTCATGAGACGAAGAATTCTATTGATTTTCAGCTATTTCCGATAATTACTGCCAGTGTTTTCGATGTTGAAGACTTTGCATGATACTTAGTTACTTTAAGTGAACAAAGCTGTATCTCAGTTCTCTGTGGTAATTACACCAAACAGCCTAAACCCGCCCTTCTCAGATTTCGATCCAACTAGGCCTATTACTGAAGTAAAAAGTTTCAACTCAATTGTGCTTACAGAGGTATCTGAGATAGAGGTATCTGCTTTTTTAATTTTTCGCATGTTTTCGATAACTCCCCTGTCTTTAATAGTAAGTGTAGGAGGTCCGCACTAGACGTAAAACAAACATCTACAAGATAAACCTGCAGACAAGAAAGAAAATAGACAGTGCACCAAATAAACAAATATCAAATCAAATATCAAATAGCTATATGTCCTGAAATACTGGCGTAATTTTCATGATCTAGGTGTTGTTTTGTTTGGAAAAGGATGAGGAATCGTCTGCCATCATCAGATCAGACAATAAAACATTTTGACCTTCATCTTATATAAAGTTCATTTCACCAACCTACAGCATACATGAAAACCAATTAGAGGTATTATTTCTAGTTGGCCTCCTATAATCTACAACTTTTGTACCGATTAGTGTATTGGTAGATTATAGGAGGCCTGCTAGAAAAATTACCTCTTTGGTCAAATCAAAGTCACCTTTCAGGGTCAAGGTCAAAAGGTTATTGATTCTAAAAATATTTTATGGTCCGATCTGATGATATCTCATCCTTTTCTGATTAAATCAACACCTAGATCATGAAAATGGAGCTAGTAGTTCAGGAGATATGGCTATTTAAAGCTAGGGAAGTCATCGAAAACATGCGAAAAAAAGCCAAAAAACACAGATGCCAATATCTCAGAAACTGTAAGAATGATAGAGCTGGAACTTTGAAATTCAACTTTTCAGGCATAACAACCCTACATATTTCATTAAAATCTGAAATGGTCAGGTTTAGAATCCCAGACATTTTGGGCTAATTGACATGTGGATTTTTATACGCCCCCACATTGAAATGTGGCCGTATATTGTTGTCGCCCCTGTCCGTCGGTCCGTCCGTCCGTCGGTCTGGCGCCCACAATTGCTTGTGGACGCTCTAGAGGCTAAAGTTAATATCCCATTGACTTTAAATTTATATACAGTGTTTAAGGCCATGAGACGAAGAAGCCTATTGATTTTCAGCGATTTCCGATTATTACTGCCAGAGTTATGGCCCTTTATCACTTCAAAAAATCTTGTGGACACTCTAGAGGCGAAAGTTAATATCCGATTGACTTTAAATTTATACACAGTGTTTAAGGTCATGAGACGAAGAAGCCTATTGATTTTCAGCCATTTCCGATAATTACTGCCAGAGTTATGGCCCTTGATCACTTCAAAGAATCTTGTGGACGCTCTAGAGGCCAAAGTTAATATCCGATTGACTTTAAATTTATACACAGTGTTTAAGGTCATGAGACGAAGAATTCTATTGATTTTCAGCTATTTCCGATAATTACTGCCAGAGTTATGGCCCTTGATCACTTCAAAGAATCTTGTGGACGCTCTAGAGGCCAAAGTTAATATCCGATTGACTTTAAATTTATACACAGTGTTTAAGTTCATGAGACGAAGAAGCCTATTGATTTTCAGCGATTTCCGATAATTACTGCCAGAGTTATGGCCCTTGACCACTTCAAAAAATCTTGTGGACGCTCTAGAGGCGAAAATTAATATCCGATTGACTTTAAATTTATACACAGTGTTTAAGGTCATGAGACGAAGAAGTCTATTCATTTTCAGTGATTTTCGATAGTTACTGCCAGAGTTATGGCCCTTGATCACTTCAAAAAACCTTGTGGATGCTCTAAAGGCTAAAGTTAATATCTGATTGACTTTAAATTTATACACAGTGTTTGAGGTCACGAGGCGAAGAATCCTATTGATTTTCAAAGATTTCTGATAATTACTGCCAAAGTTATGGCCCTTGATTCCTTTAAAAAATCTTGTGGACGCTCTAGAGGCCAAAGTTAATATCCGATTGACTGCAGATTGATACACAGAGTTTAAGATCTTGAGACGAACAAGTATATTGATTTTCAATGAATTTTTATGACTTGGAACACCTAAATTCATGATACAGTATTAAAAGTTTTGTATACAAAACGTTAGCATGGGCAGAACTTTATAAAAACCAAACAAATTCTAATGGTTTTCTGAGTTGTTGCTCTTGATCAGATTTTAGTGTATTATAAATGTTTCATTACTGAAAAAAGTAAAAATATGTGGGCGTATGTTTCGTTGCCTGGCAACCTATCTTTAAATATAAGGTACCCGATACAAGATGAAAAGATGTAATAATAGTTAATTTGATATTGTAGAACAATGATAGTTTCCAAGATTATAATTACTATGGTGAAGAAGATGATGATGATGATAGTACTAATGCTACATAGGTACAACATGCCAAGACAAATTTGTTATTGATAGTGTAACACTCTACTATAACACACTGACAGACTATAGCTGTTCTCATACTTTACAGTTGCTCAACAGTTGCTAGCTTTCTTATAGAGTATGGTGTGTCACTACACAAGTGTGGGATGACAACAGGTCTATGATCATCTCTACTAGACATATAACATATACACATCAAGTGTTTTGTTCTGTAATTGTTCATGATTTGAAGATATTAACCTGTGACAGTCAAATGAACAGATTGTATACTGTGGTTTAGTTTGAAGAATTTATACCTCATTTTACAAATGGAGTTTTAACTTTGACTGCTTTATCCATTGGTATTTTATAAAAAGTTTTAATCGCTGAATTATAAAATATTTATAACATTCCTGTATTAAAAGTTGGACATTTTAAAGTTAATATCAGTGGATTGTGATTTAACAAAAAATATTTGTTGTTTATGTATTTGTTTGCCTCACCAAAAATACTGTTACAGACAAGTTCAGGTAAAAAAAAACTCATACCATACTACAATTCTTTTTATATACCATTTGTACAAACAAATAGAATGAAGTTATATCCTAAAAGCAAAAACGGGAAAGCAGATGATGAGAAAAATAATAAAATCAATTTTATTCAAGAAGCTTTAATGACCTGGAGGCGGCATGACGTCATTTTGGGGAAGCCGTTGACGCCATATTGGTTAACCCAAAACAGCGTTTTTCTAATTCCGTACACGATATGCCGGGCTGCTCTAGGTGTACGTCTGATGTGAAAAAAAGAAGAAATATTGGGAAAAATCCTTTTGCCTGCTAGTCAACAAAATAAAAGGTCTGAAATCACATGAATTTTTGGTCTGAAGAAATTCCGTATTGTGCAATTGTTTTCGGTTTATTCATTTAATTAATTTTTCGGGAATTGATATCTTTAAGGGCAAGGTAAAGTGACAAAAATTGTCACAACACCTGAAATGGGAGGGGGTCCTCAAAAAATTATTCACAACACCTTTAGTGCCTTTATTTTGGTGTCTAGACGTGCTTGAGATGATACTGAACAATAAAAAATGGATGAAAATAAAAAAAAAAAATTTGGAATTTGTAACTTTGGAAAATATGAAGCAAATATACCATTCAGCACTGCGCAGCTACAGGGTAAACAACTCAACATGGGGAAATCACAAAGTCTCACACAGATACCTGCATAGTTTGAAAACTATCTTTGTTTTAGCACACCACGTCCATATAATTAAACTTTTATTTTTCAAATATCCTCCATTTTTTTCAAGGGACTACTTTCGGACTTTTTGTATGGAGTACCATCATAAACATCATTTGGATGAAATGTTTCGGGTCAGTATGGAATATTGTAAATACTGCATCACAATTTCTTTGAAACTGCTTTTGGTTTTCAGCAATTTTTTATAATGAATACACATTGTTATCATTTGTATTACTTCTTAAGGGCAAGGTAAAGTGACAAAAATTTTCACAACACCTGAAATAGGGGGTCCTCAAAAAATCATTCACAACACCTTTAGTGCCTTTATTTTGGTGTCTAGACATGCTTGAGATGATAATGAACAATAAAAAATGGATGAAAATCAAAAATAATGACTTTGGAATTTGTAACTTAGGAAAATATGATGCAAATATACCATTCAGCACTGCACAGCTACAGGGTAAACAACTCAACATGGGAATCACTAACTGAAAACTATCTTTGTTTAGCACACCATGTCCATATAATTTAACTTTTATTTTTCAAATATCCTCCATTTTTTTCAAGGGACTACCTTCAGACTTTTTGTATGGAGTACCATCATAAACATCATTTTATGATTAAATGTTTTGGGTCTGTATGGAATATTGTAAATACTGCATCACAATTTCCTTGAAACTGTTTTTGGTTTTCAGCAATTTTTGTTATAATGAATACACATTGTTATCATTTGTATTACTTCTTAATTCACCCCTTGAAACTTTGTGCCAGGAAGCATAAAGCTGTACTGACAATTAAAGATTGAACATTTTTACTAAGTTTTACAGTAAAATAATTTGTTATAAATTTCATTCAATATATAGCCCACTATTGAATGTGGAAAGGTCCGGCTGAATGATTGATTAGAAAATATGATGTGTTTCAAATGGTACTCCATAGAAATGAATTTGCCCCACAAAAATTATATCTAGGTAACAAATTCTATATCTGCAGACCCTCAGAATGATTATTATTCTAACATAAATGAATAATAATCTATCCAAAATTTAGAAACAAGACTTTTTACTAACATTTACCAACACTTGACAAAGGCAGCCATAGCTTAGATTTTTATACGCCCACATTTTCATTTGGACGTATTATGCCGTCGCCCCTGTCCGTCCACAATTTGTTAGTGGACACTCTACAGGTCACAATTCTTATCCGATTTTGACGAAACTTGAAATATAGGTTTACCTCCAAAAGATCTCGACTGCTTTCGATATTGGTATGTATCGGATCGAAACTTCATGGATTATGACCCCTGTTTGTACGAAAAATCATGTTTTTAGCTTGTGGACCCTATAGAGGTCACAATTTTTATCCGATTTTGTTGAAACTTGAAGTGTAGGTTTATAACCTAAAGATCTCGGTTCCTTTCGATATCCGCGCATATCGGACTGTAACTTCCTGAATTATGGCCCCTTATTGTACGAAAAATCGCATTTTTAGCTTGTGAACCTTATAGAGGTCATAATTTTTTATCCGATTTAAAAAAACGTATTATTATATCACCGTTACACCCTAAGGACGACTGAGTATGAATTTCGTGAAAATCAGATTAAAATTGACAGACAAAATGGATGCCGTTCGTTCTCAAATAGCATAAAAATATGGTATATCAAGGTTGTGGACCCTATAGAGGTCACAATTTTTATCCGATTTTGTTGAAACTTGAAATGTAAGTTTATAACCCAAAGATCTTGGTTCCTTTCGATATTCGCGCATATCGGATTGTAACTTCCTGAATTATGGCCCCCTGATTGTACGAAATCCTGTATTTAGCTTGTGGACCCAATAGAGGTCATAATTTTTATCCGATTTCAAAAACGTATTATATATCACTGTTACACCCTAAGGGCGACTGAGTTCGAATGTCGTGAAAATCGGCCCAAAATTGACAGACAAAATGGCCGCCATTCGTTCTCAAATACCGTAAAAATATGGTATATCAAGGTTGTGGACCCTATAGAGGTCACAAATTTTATCCGATTTTGTTGAAACTTGAAATGTAAGTTTATAACTCAAAGATCTCGGTTCCTTTCGATATTCACGCATATCGGATTGCAACTTTCTAAATATGGCCCCTGATTGTACAAAAAATCACGTTTTTAGCTTGTGGACCCTATAGAGGTCATAATTTTTATCCGATTTAAAAAATATTATTATAATATCACCGTTACACCCAAAGGACAGCTGAGTTCGAATTTCGTCAAAATCGATAGACAATATGGCCGCCGTTCGTTCTCAAATAGCATAAGAATATGGTATATATCAAGGTTGTGGACCCTATAGAGGTTACAATTTTTATCCGATTTTGTTGAAACTTGAAATGTAAGTTTATAACCCAAAAATCTCAGTTTCTTTTCGATATTCGCGCATATTGGACCGTAACTTCCTGAATTATGGCCCCTGATTTTACGAAAAATCGCGTTTTAAGCTTGTGGACTCAGGTCATAATTTTTATCCGATTAAAAAAAACGTATTATTATATCAACGTTACACCCTAAGGACAGCTGAGTTCGAATTTCGTGAAAATCGGCCCAAAACTGACAGACAAAATGGCTGCCCTTCGTTCTCAAATAGCCTTAAAAAAATATGGTATATCAAGGTTGTGGACCCTATAGAGGTCATAATTTTTATCCGATTTTGTTGAAACTTGAAATGTAAGTTTATAACACAAAGATCTCGGTTCCTTTCGATATTTGCACATATCGAATTGTAATTTCCTGAATTATGGCCCTTGATTGCAGGAAAAATCACTTTCTTTTTAGCTTGTTCTCTATCCATCTCTCGAAAATGTGGGCGTATCCTGCCCGGCAGCCCCTGGTTTACCATTCTGTGTCGAATTACCGCTCAAAGGAAGTGTTGCTCGCATCAATGAATTCATGCATGACTTATTTTTTTAATATCAAATCCCGCAGTTGTTTAAATTAAAAAATGAAAAATTTGTTTTTAAAATTACAACCTTGCTCATTGATATTAGCATAAGGTCAAGGTCATACCAGATATTTGGACACGAAGGCTACCTACGAAACATTGTTTACATTTATACAACGGCGAAATGTGTTATTACTAAAGGGGAATAAGACATAATTGTATGTATGGTGATGTAAATGAAACCTTTGCATATCTATACAATGTTCTGCTAAGCGTTGTAAGTTTAACCATTATTCGCATCACTCGTCTAAAGATATGAAGGGTCATTTTCAAGATTGAAAAAGAAAATGGCGGATCCAAACATCGTGGTAGCAAGACGTGGAAATCACACACTACAAGGAAATGGGAAAGCAACTCGAAATCTAAGACTCGACTAGAAATTTTAAGAAATACTGCAATTCGATTGGCTGACCAGTAAAATCAATTTGCATATATCCAATGAAGTTGCAGTATTTCTTAAAATTTCGGTTGTAACTTAGTTTAAGTTTTCGTGAATAAGGGCCCTGTACTACATAGATCAGAGTATAAATAGAGAGATAATAGCTGTCCCCAAGTTTTATCGTTTTGTCTGTAGGTGTAACCGCGATTGGACAAGAAAGTGATGAAACTGAAATTTTCGTTTACGTGATAACACGCGAATGTACGAATTAAATGGGTGTTTACAGTGAAATAGTGTATTGCGAGTAATAGAGTTTATTTTGTACCTTTGTATCCAAGGGCCACTATTCTGTGTTGGGAAATAATATCTTCAGCCTTGTTGGTGTTGAGACTACTATGCAACAAGATGGTGTCACTTTACCTTGCCCTTAATTCACCCCTTGAAACGTTGTGCCAGAAAGCATAAAGATGCACTGACAATTAAAGATTGAACATTTTTACTAAGTTTTACGGTAAAATAATTTGTTATAAATTTTATTCAATATTAATTCACACTCAACACATTGTTTAATCTTAGATTGTACACTAATAGTCCACTATTGAATGTGGAAAGGTCCAGCTGAATGATTGATTAGAAAATATGATGTGTTTCAAATGGTATTCCATAGAAATGAATTTGCCCCATGTCACCGGCCGGGTGTATCGTTCATCACATTCACAAATAGGACTTGACTAATTATGTTCATTGTAGCAGGATCGATGGACAATCCACCTTTCCAGGTTGTGGCTTGAGGCAAAAGAAACAAAACAGGAACACGGCTATACAGTTTATTTACAATC